CAGAGCGCGGCCCCTGGATCCCGACATTTGCCCCCTAACAAGGCCGCGTCGCGATCTCTAGACGCGAGGTCTCCCGGGGGGACTCTCGGACGCCTCGCCGGGCTCTCCCGGGTGCCCTCGGGCCCTGCGCGGGGGTGCCCAGGGGCGCCCCGCGCCCGGCCCCGCGCCTCTGGCCCAGACGCCGCGGAGGCGCCTCCTGGGGATCTCGAGGGCCGATGCTCTCGAGCGTCGGCCCTCGATGGGGAGGGGGGAGGGGCCTCTGCTGGGGCTCCCTGGGGACCCGACTCCATCCGACCGGCCCGACTCGATAATTATCGGCCCTGGCCAGCCGGACCCGCCTTCGATTCCGCTCTTCCGACGATCCGGTGTGCCCCGACGTTTGCGGTGGCGCTGCTGCGTATCCCAGCTCAGCCAATCCGATTCGATTTCGGGCCCGTGCCGAGGCAGCCCGATCCGGCGCATCTTCCGATCTGGTCAGATTTCCCCATTCGATGCCGATCGGTCCTGCCCTCGCCGCCACCGCTGGATTCGCTTCGAAATTTTGCTCCAGCGCCCTCCCAGGGGAGTCTGGAGATCGAGGACCTGGGCCCAGGGGTCCGAGGCTTAACTCCTTGGGCCCAGACATCGGACTTGGTCACTGCCGGAGAGCATTGGGGCAGATGTTTTCCATCACCGTCTGTCTCTGGAGGCCGTCTCCCTCAGAAGTGTCAGTCATCGATGAGAAGGAGGCAGGAGGATGAGGAGGAGGAGGACGAGGGAGAAGGAGGAGGAGAGAGGAGGAAAAGGAAGAGGTATGAGGAGGAGGAGGAGGAGGAGGAGGAGGAGGAGGAGGAGGAGGAGGAGGAGGAGGAGGAGGAGGAGGAGGAGGAGCAGGAGCAGGAGCAGGATCAGGGAGGAGGATGAGAGGGGGCACTGTCGGCCGGGCCAGAGAGGAGGATCGTGGTGCTGCTGCTACTGCTGCTCCTGCTGCTCCTGCTCATGCTCCAGGGTCCATTTCGATCCTGTCGACCCGATTCGGTATTGAGTTCGGCTGGCTCGATCCGATTGGATCCTGATACTCCGACGATGCTTACATGGCGACGTCGCGCATCCTGGCTTTGCCGATCCGGTTCGATTCCGACACTGTGCCGATGCGGCCCGACTCGATGCACATTCCGATCCAATCCGGATTCCCAATTCGAGGCTCATTGATCCTGTTCTCTTTCGGGCGACGGAATCTATTCATATCCACTGCTCCTTGGCCAGGCCCATCCTGGACCCAGGAGCTGTGTGTACGCTCTCCTGGCCAAGCCAGGAGGGCGTGGCGTATACACCGCTTCTGGGTTCATGATGGGCCTGGCCAGGGAGCAGTGGATATGTATAGACTTCGTCGCCCTACTCTTGAGTCGGGCGCATCAGGTCAAAACTGACAAATAAGATAAGTCGGGGCACGATTTTTGGACTATCTTTGTGGCTACTTTTGTATGCTTTTTTCTGACCATTCTCCAGTCTTCTCCCCCAAAGCAGCCCGCAGGGGGACACGCCACCGACCTGACCCCACGCGTGCTCCACGCTCCCTTCTCGTGCCCGACCCCGCGGGCGCGCGGGCGGGCGAGGGGCCCTCGGAGGTGCTCCTCCCTGCTCCGCCTTCGCCGAGAAGGACATCTGGGACGTGCAGAAGGTCCTCCGGCATCCTCTCGACCAGGACAGGGACGCACACGTGTGAGAGGTGCAGATCGAAGGAGAAAAAACGTCATGCGCATAAACTTTCGGTGCTCCGCGCGGATTTCCTGGATCTGCGCTGGACCCCCTTCCCTGGCGCGCAGTTTATGTTTATGGCATTTTTTTTTTTTTTTTTTTTTTTTTTTTGTTTTTTTTGTTTTGTTTGTTTTGCTTTTTTCTTCTAGCAAAAGCAGCCTGGGAGAGCATTGGGGCGGCGAGCTACCTCTCACTGCCTTTGCCTGTTGCCCTTCCGCCTTCTTCGCTCTCCTCTTCTCCTCGCCCTGCTCCCTGCCTCCCCCGTGCCCTGTCTCTCTGCTGGTCCCCGCTGCCCCTCGAGTGCTGTGCAGTCAGGAGCGCTGCATCAGGAGCGAAGGGGCTTTCTGGCCACCGTTTGCCTCGGCCTCAGACAGGTCCCACGACCCAGATCTGGGGAACGAGGAACCCGAGCCCCTCCAGAGCCCCCAGTTGTCCACATGTTTCAGCGTCTTGGCTGTAGGGGCCAGTTGAGAGCATGTGCGCCAGGAGAAAGACACACAGCAACAGGAGCAGGCTGATGATGATGATGATGATGATGATGATGATGATGATGATGATGATGATGATGATGATGATGATGATCATGATGGTGCTGTGATGATGATGGTAATGACGATGATGACGATTGTAATGATGATGTGATGCTGTGATGATGAGGATGATGCGATGATGGTAATTATGATGATGATGATGATGATGATGATGATGATGATGATGATGATGATGATGATGATGATGATGATGATGATGATGATGATGATGATGATGATGATGTGGAAATGTAGTGGCGGTGATGTGCTGCTGACGATGATGATGATGATTATGATGCTGATTATGATGATGATGATGACGACGATGTCGTCGAATATGCTGATAATGACGATGATGATGGTGATGGCGATGATGATGCTGATGATGATGCTGATGAGGACGATGATGATTCTGATGATGACGATGCTGTTGATGCGATGATGTGTTGAGGAGGATAATGGCGTGATGATGAAGGTGATCATGATGATGATGATGATGATGATGATGATGATTATGCGGGGATGTTGTGATTTTTGATGGTGTGATCACGATGATGTGCCAATGCCGTGATGATATCGATAGCGATGATGATTATTCTGATGCTTATGCGGCTGCTGCTGCTGATGATGATGATGATGATGACGACATCGTCGCCGGCGGCGACGATGATTCTCATGATGACGATGTCTTCGACGATGATGATGGTGATGATGATGAGGATACTGATGATGCTGATGATTAAGATGATGATGCTGATGCTGAGGATGATGATGATGATGATGATGATGATGCTAATGCTGATTATGATGATTATCCTGATTGTGATAATGATGATGCTGGTTCTGATGATGACGATGATGCTGCTGATGATGACGATGGTGATGGTGATGATGATGATGATGATGATGGTGATGCTGATTCTGATGAGGATTCTGTGATGATGATGCTGATGGTGGTTATGATGTCGTCGTCGACGATGATGATGACTGTGATGACTATGCTGCTGATGATGATGATTCTGATGATGATGTTGTGAGGAGTTGATGATTGCGATGATCACGATGACGTCGTTGACTATGCTGACTATGCTGAATTTGATGATGATGGTGATGCTGCTGATGATGACAATGATGATGATGCTGACGCCGCCAGCGACGATGATTCTAACGTCGGCGACGATGCAGATGATGACGATGATGCTGATGATGATGCTGATGGTGATGATGATGACGCCGTCGACGATGATGACGATGATGATGATGATGATGATGATGATGATGGCGAGGATGATGATGATGATGATGATGATGATGATGATGCTGATGATGATGATGATGATGATGATGATGCAGGTGATACTGATGACGACGATCATAATGTTGCGGTCGATGATGATGACGATACGTCGTCGACGATGATGAGACTGATGAGATCATTGTGCTGATGATGATGGCGTCGTCGATGACGATGACGATAATGACGTCGTCGACGACGGCGATGATGATGTTTATGATGGACATGATGCTGATGATGATGCCGACGATGATGCTGTTGATGATGATTCTGATGGTGACGGTGGTGGCGCTGGGTACGATGATGTTTATGATGATGAGGATGATGATGGTGATGCTGATGATTGTGATGGTGATGATTGTAATGGGTATGATGATGATTATGATGATGCTGTTGCCGATGCTGCGCCTGCTCATGATGATAATGACGAGGATGACGATGATAATGAGGACGACGATGACGACGACGATGCTGACGATGATGATGCTGGTGATGATGACGATGTTGATGATGCTGATTCTGATGATGACGATGATGATGACGTCGACGACGATGGTGATGATGCTGATGAAGATATGATGATGATGATGATGATGATGATGATGATGATGATGATGATGATGATGATGATGATGATGATGATGGTGGTGGTGGTGGTGGTGGTGATGATGATGATGATGATGATGCTTATGATGTTCATGATCCTGACCGTGATTATTGTTATCACTATCATTCTCGCCCGCCATGGCGATTGCTCTTCAGTGCCCGCTGTTGCTGGACATGGACAGCGATTCCTGTTGGGCTGACGTCGTTCGCCACGAAGTGGACGACGATGGTCGGTGGTTGACGTGGTTTGGCCATGTTGATTATGATGACGATGGTGACGACTGTTTGGTTGACGACGAGGGGATTGTGATGAAGACGACGATGATGATGACAATGGCGATGATGATGTCGGCGACGACGACGACGACTACGACTGCGACTGCGCTGATGACGATTATGACGTTGATGACGCTGATGACGATTGCGGTGATGATGACGATGGTGACGCCAACCTTGCTGCGGTTGAGGACGATGCTGGTGATGCTGATGATGCTGCTGATGATGCTGCTGATGATGACGATGCTGCTGCTGAGTATGCGAGCTGTGCCGGCGACGGCGGCTCTGGTCAGGATACTGACGACGCTGACGACGCGGACGATGATTACGCTTTTGGCACTGCTGTTTGTGGTGATTCTGGTGATGCGATTCCGATGCCGATGACGATTATGGCGAGGTTGTTGTTGCTGACGAGGATGGCGATGGTGACGATGCTGATGCCGATTGTGATGCTGATGCTGATGATTCTGGTTGGTGAGTAGGATGAATGTGATTCCGACCGTGTGGATGTTACTTGTGTTGCAGAAAAGCACTACGACGATCATGCAAAAGCTGAT